GTTGCAATGAACCCATAATTTAAACAGGACTCTTGGTATTTTCTTTTAAACGCAGCTTTCATTTTGTTGGCAGTCTTGAGTCTTCTGCTGTCCCATCATTGGGTCTTTGCCCCTTTTCAAAGAAGCTCTCCAGCGACGTCTGTTTTTTATTCATTTTTGATGGGGTTAGCTTGTGGGCTTACCAAAACCGTGACCGAGACAAGTGAGCAGTGCGAGAAAGAGGCGGGGATGGAAGTGCTAAATAAAATAATAGGGGGGCCACATGCAGACTAAAATAAGCGTGGGATTCTGACCTAAAGCCTGTTACCACATGCAGTTTAATTGTCACTTGCCACTCACTGGTAGTTTTGATATGAGTCTGCAAAGCAATTGATTTATGATAGTCTCTGTGCAGTCAAACCTCTCTGCTAGTGACAATCTGTACTTGCAGCCGCTCCCCAGCACCAGCATCACCGCCTCAGCTCCACCTCCGATCAGCAGGCATTAGATTCTCATAAGGAGTGAGTAACCTAGATCCCTCGCATGCGCAGTTTACAGTAGGGTTCACGCTCCCATGAGAATCTAATGCCACCGCTGATCCAACAGGAGGCGGAGCTCAGCAAACAAGCTCAGTCAGTAGAGCGGGTGTTGAGGGACAGGCCTTATTCCATTCGCAGACAACCCTGTGAAGCAAGAAAAAGAAATCCTAAGTTTTCCACTCGTGTTCAAAACTGTCTAAGTCCCTTGGAGGTAGGCCACCATAGAATTAAATCCTTAAACTCACTTCTTTACACTCCCAAAGCCTTAGAGGAAATAGTCATAGATTCACTTTTTTAAATCTTTCCTATGTCAAAGTCAATTGACCTGGGCAATGACGTTGAGCTGAAATCACAGACCTGCCCCCTGCTCCCAGAGACACCCTCTCCTGGGTCAGGGGCCTTCCATCGAGCTCCCTCCCTAAATACCACAGAGGCTACTTAAGGGCAGCATTCCTGGGGGCCAGGGCCCGCACGACCCACCTGTGGCAGGGTCTGTCTGCCATGGACTTCCCTTTCCTGTCCAGGCGCTCACCGGGTCCTGGTTCTCAATAAGCACACACAGAGAACATGTTCATTCTCTTCTTTCCGCTCATTAAAAATAAGCCCAAACGGAACCCAGATTTAGAACACACCTACCAATGAAAAGTAAAATGAAGAGGGGGAGGCACCCACCCACATAATCTTTCCATTCAAAGAGGCACTATTCCACAGCTGCTATGGAGTTTATAATTAACAGACAAGCTTACCCAACAAGAGAAATTTCTGGAATCTCTTGTAATTTACACTAGCGTCTAGCTTATTCCAAATTTAGATCACAAGCACGGGCTAGATTCCATAGCTGAATCCGAAAGCCTTCTTGGCACATCTCTAGCTTGGGTTTCTTGCAGTCACTCAGCACTGCCTGGGGACAGCGGCTGCAGGATGACTAAGGCGCAGGCTGACCCAGTGTGCAGGCAGACGCAGAGTGGCTGCTACAGTGTGACATCAAGAGGGCCACCAAAACCTACCACTAGCTCCACGGGGCTGCGTCAGGAGGCTCCACTGGAGAAATGTCAGATTGCACTCAGACGTATTCTGCCTTCTACCAATCTCTACTGTCGTTGTGCTGCAAGGTTTCCGGTTCCTTTCCCACCTGCCACCCCAGAGAGAATCCTCTCACCCCCGGCTCCAAGACAAAAAAGTGCAGTGAGGCATGTCTGAGTGCCAGGCCCTGCCTGTCAGAAGGTTGAGCCACAGGGAAGACAGACGAAGAGGGTGGGAGGATGGCAGCCTTCACAGGCTGCAGGCAGTTTTGTGCGTCTTCTTTACCATTTGAATCTACTCTATCAAGAACCACAATTCTAGAACACGAAGTCTCCTCCTTTTTACAGCAAAGGGAACTGAGGTTCAGAAACAGGAAGAAACTTGCCTAGGCCACACTACTATTTCCTGGTGGCTCAAGGACTAGATCCCAGGTCTCAAACTCCCAGCCCAGGCATCTTTCCCCGTCCTTCTAGAGACAGCACCAGGCTTTCCATGGGTTGGTGAACCTGCGCAGCAGCATGATTTGTGAGGCGTGACGCAGAACTGCCAGACGCTACCTAAGACACGTACGCAGACTGCCCGCGCCTAGCAAAGAGCAGGCAGAATCCCATTTTAGGTCACACAGGGTAACGCCTCTACTACGTTTATCTGACTCCAGAGCGCACCCTAACCCTGCTATCTCTGCAGGAGTACTGGAAAGATCTCCCAGTTCCCAAAATACTCCCTTCGAAGGCAGACTAGGGTGGGGACAAGTCTTTCAAGGATCAGTGGAGTCAAGTGGGCCTTAAGTTCCTCTAAGTCCTCGGGACATTAGACACCCCTGCAGGAAAGCGCACGCTGCTGGGCTGGGACCTGGAGGCATCAGTCGTTCGACGCCGGCTCGCTCCTGGGGAAACAGCACATCTAGGGACTTAACGTGAGACACAAGTTTTAACAGGAGGAGAGGAAAGGAGACCTTGGCTTTTCACCTTTTTCTACATGAAGACCATTTGTAAAAGTCAAAATTCTTCCTGCGACCTCCACAGAAGTTGTATATTATACTTTTGTATTATATTAATTAGCAAAACACATAATGAGTAGGATTTACCAATTTCTGAATTAGGAGCACTTTTAACTGAATTTTTATTTTAGTAAACAGAATCATTTGAAAACCCGCAGTATCAGGTGCATTGTACATATAAGGGTGTTGGTCTATACAGGATTCTGCAGACCCCTTCCTTGAAATCCCAAGAGTTCTGGGCCCACAGGTTAGGAAACGTGCGGCTAGATCGTGGGGTGTTGCTCCCGGGTAAGGACTGGGGGGTGCCTCAGAATGGGCTCCACAAGGGAAAGTGGGGGTGAAGAATGAGGAAGTGGGAACCTACAAAGCACACTTCACATACGTCACAATTTTGCTCACAACAAACCCTGCACCATTTTCCCAACGGTCAACATGAAAATTAATGATTAGAAATTTACACTGACATTTGGGCAGGAAAACTATGGAGCACAACCACCAAGGGGAGGGATTAACATGAGAGAAGAGGGAGACGGTGTCGCAGAAGAAACTTAGCTCATCCTGATGCCAAATTTAATAGTAAAAAATCATCTAGAAAAAACAGCAAGCCTATTCCTTTTTTTTTTCAAGGCTATTCTTTAATGAAGCATCGGGGTCTGGATTTGATCTGGATTGAATGAGAAGGACAGAAGGTAACAAAGGGCACACACTCACGCTAGTGTGACAAATACACGGGCACCATTTAAGACCCCATCTTATCATTTCTCACCAAAAGGAGACTCATTTACACATCATCACCCCTAAAAGCAGAGCACCTCATAAATCCACACTACACATATAATGAAAGTCAAACTTAGATTCTTCAAAAGTAGGAGGAAAAAAAAAAATCAAAACAGACTTTATGCACAGCACCTGTTTTAAATGAAAAGCACTGAAATCTAAGGAAACTAATTAGCCCCTACCTTTCCAGCTTATCCTCTCCCACTAACCTCTATGACCAGTCTCAGCACACTATTCAACATGCCATGGACAAGTATTGCACCTGTATGTCTATACCACTGGGTATCAGGTGTGTGACAAGCTTGGTATCCCTGTCACATTGATTCACACATGCATGCACATACACACACACACATTTGCCAAAGTCCTACTCATGCTTCTTACTCAACTCCCCAAGCCAGAACCAATCTCCCCTCTCCCGTCCCCAGTGTATTCTTCCACTTGCCTCACACATACTTCCACGACAGCACTTGCCATGGGGATTAGCAAAGCCACATCATCACTGTATCTCACTCATGTTTCTACTCCGAACACCAAACACACTGCTGAGCATAAAATGCTTAACAAAAGCATGTTGCAGAAACAAAGGAATGAATGGGTAATTAGGGAGAAAAGCTTCTGATACTGACTGTATGAGGATTACCTGTTCGTAAAACCATCACAATGGCTTAGGATTCAATTACTGAAAGGGCAGCCTTGTGAAAAATCACGGGAAATATCTAATCCCACAATTTCCCCAGTAACAGCTAAAGATCAATTCTATCAGCTCTCCCTGCTCTCTCCCTCTTCCCCAGCTGACTAGATGACAGGCTCCCTGCAGGGGGTTCCACTTTCACAACATCTGAAAAGAGCAGAACACATAAAAAGGGAACGTAAATCTCTCTTTACATCCACCAGCCACTGCATTTTTGGAATTTGTCTTATAGCCTCAAGGAGTTCCTGAGGAGTCCTGAGTGGACAGCAGTGGGCGGCAAACTCCAGGCCTTAGTTTCCTGCCCAAAACCAAATCTCACGGACAAAATCATATCCCTGCAATAAGTCTGACGACATTTTGGAGATAACCAAGTCTCCAGAAGAAAAAAACAGGAAAGACAGACAACCTGATGTCTTGCAGCTGCTTCCTGCTAATTACTCTACAGCCGCTTCTGTTATCATCTTCTTGCCAAGAAGAGAGGAGGCCCAGATGTAGAAGTTTCACAGTACCCTGTTAATTTGGCTACAGCCACAAATCTTCTTCACCCTGAATAAAAAGCCTGAATAACTGACTTTCTATGCCAACACTATCTCCCTTTCTTTCACCATGTTGGTCCTTTTCCGCCTGGAAAAAGTAAAATAAATTTCTTCTTTCTATCCTAATCTTTGTCTGGAGAAATCCTTCTCCAAACCCACGCGCACTAGCTCTCCACCCATATAATTACTGGGGAAAATCTATTCCTCTAACACTGAACTAGTCACCTTCCCTCCCCTGGTAATTAATAATACATATGTTATCTAACAAGATGAAAAAGGAAAAGTCTGTTTTTTCCATCAGAAGGTTGAATTAGACACGATAGTTCCAAAGAGCAGGTAATCCCCGCACCTTTCAAAAGAGCCTTGAAGAAAGCGAAACACTTGGTGAGGCAATCTCCACCTGGCCCTCTGCCTTTCCACTCTCGCTGATAATCAAGACAAAGTACACTCACCTGGCTTGTTTCCTTCCCTCTCATGGCCCAGCTGCCCTTTGGTGTTCAAACCACACGTGTAAACTTCCCCATCCTCCAGCAGGAACACGGAGTGGTTTCCTCCACAGGCCACTTCCTTGACGCTCCTGTCAGATATGAATCCACACACCTGTGGCTCAGCCACGATGCCTTGCAGGTTGGTGCTGATCCCAGGTTGGCCCAGAGACCAATATCCCCAACATAACATTGTTCTTATCTTTCAGGGAGTCATGTAGCCTAGAAGAGAGTTTTGTAAAAAAAGGTTAAAAAAATTCTTTTAATGTCAGAAAAAAATCAATTCAAGTAATAAATGTAACCAATTTAAAAAATAACCTCTTAATATTCTTCATATATCATATATCTCAAAATAAAACATTAATATTGCTAAAGTAGATGCAAGTTATAATGATGCTATAACTCTGTATTTTAGTAAGAGTGTAAAAAACATGTTTAAACAAATTTTGTTTGTTTTAAATGAATGAGTGAACACTGACTACATGTGGTTTTCAGGTCATTGCTAAAGAACTCTGAGTACAGGAAACTGGTTGAAATGATCTTTGCAAACCATCAAGGTCTTCTAAAAAAGTAGAAGTTCCTATTTAATACACCAAATGAAGCGGAGCAATGGAATCCTGTGATAAGGATGCAACTGGAACCTGGCCATTTAGCAGATTCTGTGGCAGACAACAGCAAATGAATTTTGAGAACAGGGATGTCTAACACTCAGTTTGAAATTGTTACCTGTTCGGTAATGACTTTTCAGAATCCCAAACCTTCTATCAAATTAAAACATGGCCAGGTGATGGCTCACACCTATAATCCCAGCACTTTGAGAGGCTGAGGCAAGAGGATTGCTTGAGGCCAAGAATTCAAGACCAGCCTGGGCAACAGTGAGACCCCATCTCTAAAAACCAAAAAAAAAAATTTTTTTCTTTTTTTTTTTTAAATCAGCCAGGCATGGTGGCATGCTCCTATAGTCCCAGCTACTCAGGAGGCTGAGACAGGAGGATTGTTTGAGCCCAGGAGTCTGAGGTTGCTGTGAGCTGTGATGATGTCACCGCATTCTAGCCTGGGCAGAGAGCAAGACTCTGCCTCAAAAAAAAAAAAAAAAAAAAAGCTGAATTTATCAATTTGTCTACATAATCTACAGGAAAGAATTTTCACTAATTTCTACGAATCTAAAGGTACAACGGAAAAAGCTAATTGGCTATTCTGTGCAAATTCAGCTTTTAAAATGACAAACTCCTTTCTCCCAAGGTATAACCATGACCAAACAAAATTAAAGATTACAACACAGACGAAGTTAATTCTTTCAATCCCTCTTGACAACAATTACAGTACTTTGTCCTTAATGATGCTAATTTGTATGTACAAGTTAATTTTACAACTGCTTTATGGTAATCCTGACTTACTCTTTCAACTCTTGAGACTTTTAGGAAAAGGCCCAAAATAAAATATAAAACTGAATCTCAATCTGCTATCTTAACCCAAAAGTTCTGCTTCTTGCTTTTTATTCTTGTCTAGATTCCACACTAAAAGTGCATTAAAATTAAACATTATTCTCTGAGTTACTTGCAAAGACTGGGGGGGAAGAGAGAAAAAATGCAAAATTAGCAGGGTGGTAGTGGTGGTATAAGGATACACATTTAAATAGACCGGCAAGATCACATAATCTATCCATAATTTAGTTCTCCCAACTTGCCCAGTTGCTATTATCTGCACTAATAGCTTTATTTTTAATGTTTCATAAGTTTGTCTTATGTCTCCTACCAATAATTATATAAGCAACATCATAATGCACCAGTCACTGTGCTAATATGCATTTTATATCCTTATCTCATTTCATCTTCACAACAACCCTGTGCCATAAATATGACTTTTTAGCCTCATTTTCAGATAAAACAAGGCTGGCAGAGAATAAGCAGCATCCCAAGGTCACGCAGCTGGAAGGAGCAGAACCAGGCTATAAATCTAGGCCTGACCCCAAAGTCCACACTCGCATCCACAGGACCGCACTGCCACCCAAGTAGATTTATATTACTAATAATACGTTACCTATAAGATCAAAACACACACAAAATTAAATACTTGCAGAATGACTAAATTGTAGTCAGTATGCAATACAAGATGTCCTAAAAACTTGAAAATAAAGTTCCTAAGAGTGAAACTAGTCAGAATTAAGAGATAGAGGATGAGATTAGGCAACTGTAGCATTAAGCCTAGTATAAACGATAGGTCTAAAAATATGGTATCAAGAAGCGATGCGTGTATGTGTACACAAAGATCTGTCAACAATGCTCACAGTGGCTTTATTCAATGACCCTGGCCAAGCCAATCAGAATGCCCCCCCTAAGCAATAGTACATGACCCACAACCAAGCCAATCAGAGAATGCCCCCCCCTAAGCCACAGTACTTGACCCACACCAAGCCAATCAGAGAATGCCCTCCTAAGCAATAGTACATGACCCACACCAAGCCAATCAGAGAATGCCCTCCTAAGCCATAGTGACTGGTGCAGGAATAGGTTCACACTCCCAACTGGGCCAGAGTCCTTCCCCAGTAAGTTCCATGGAGCTCTGATGGAAAACTGCCTTTTGCCTCTGAAAGATAACTGAGGCTGCCAAAAGCTACCTTCCCCGCCATACGGGGGACACCTGTAAGAGATTATGAAGCTACCCAGGCATAAGTATTCAGAGAGGAGACAGAAAGAGCCCCAGTGATGTTGACTGAGCCTTTCAAGCCCCTCTTACCTCGTGCCCACACTACCGCCTTGACTCTTTCTAAGCACAAGTGAGCTTCATTAGTTTTGGATTTCATGCTTGGGAATTTGTCTACTCACTGAAATTTATTTGTAAACCCCAAATCAATACTACTTGGAGTGCTTTTTCAATCATTCCCAGACATGAGCAGAGAGATAAAAAATTGAATCACCCTATGTGCATGTTCATGTTCCTGGCTATAGGAACAAGGCTATACTCTGCTTTCTCATTTCAACTCACTCTGTAAACAAGTGTCCTTTTTGCAGTCTATTTAGTGTCACATTTTTTGTGTTTTGTTGGTGATTTTGCTGTTAAACATGGCCCCCAAGCAGAGAGCTGAAGTGCTGTCTAGTGTTCCTAGATGCAAGAAGGCTGTTATGTGCCTTACAGAGAAAATGTGTGTGTTAGACAGGTTTCCTTCATGCATGAGCTACACTGTTGGCCATGAGTTCAATGTTATGAATAATAGGGTACATCCAAAAATGGAAAAGGAAATCCACCCATCTGTATGTGAGGCCACCCCAGAAAGTGCTCATGTAACGTCTATAGTGCATAATGAAACTTTAGAAAAGATGGAAAAGCAACTAAATCTGTGGATTCATGAGATGACAACCAAAATAACCAAAAAGCACAGCAGACAGTATTGATGTGAAGCTGAAATACAAAAACATTTATTGTCACATTACCCAGGGTCAGGAAAATGTTAAACCTTTCTCAATTAATGTTTTATTTAGAGAAATATTGCATATATTTATAAGATATACTAAATAAGGTATCTAGACAGAAACACACATAAAACAAGGTATGTATTGATGAATTGACAAAAATGTCACGACCCAAAGGCTTGCAGGAACCTAGCCCTGTATTTCCTAAGAAGTGATGGCTCTGTATTCACTAATCTGGTATTCACAGTGACTTTAGAGTACATAACTATTGCAAATAATGAGAATCAACTATATATAATCTAATAAGTCCCTTTTTTGTTCATCTTAGTTAAGCTTGTTCAAATTGGGTTTCTTTCACTTGCATAAAAAACTCCCAAATTATATTATTATTAATAACAATAGCGGGTAATACAATTTGAGCTTACTCTAGGTCTGGCACTTTTCTATGTGCTTCACAGGCACTAACTCATTTAATCTTCTATGCAACAGGTTCTGCTTTTATCATCTCTAATTGAGGAACACTTCAAAAATCCTTCCCACCTGAGTTCTTGTAATGGAATCTTCAAGTAGCCCAACAAAAACTGCTTACCAAGAGAATTAAATAGCAACTGCAAATAAAATGTATCCCCATGAATGGAATTATCAATCCGAATTGTAAATACAGTCTAGGTCATCGTAATGCTCTGCCAAAACTACAGCAAGAGGCACCAAGATTATCTAGCTTTCAGAAGAGAAGTCTAGTGCGTTGAAAAAATGCCAGCCATTAATACAGCTTTCACGTAAAAGTACACTCTAGTTGAACCCCCAAATCTGGTAGCTGCTCAGTTCCAGCCCCTCCATTTCCTGCCTCTCATTTCCCCTCATAAAAGGATGGACCACTTTCAAAGGACAACTTTCTCTCCATGTCATACCCAGCACTTTGCTCAGTCCTTCTCATCTATTCTTGGTAAGAGATTCAAGATAATCTTAGCAGGGCTTACGGGTCAAAAGGACTCAAGTCCACGCCCTGAATTAACCACATTAGCTGTGAAACCTGGGGGAAGATGTTTAACCACTCTAAGCTTGTTTCCTGTCTCTAAAATGGGGAAAAGAGTGATAGGGTGTTGCAGGATTAATGAGAAAATGCATGTAGAAACTGCTTAGCGTGGTGCCTGGCATGTGGTAGTAAGTGACCAATAAATGTCTGCTGCTTTAGTCACTGTTACTCCTACTCCTAGTGCCCTTTTTTGAGACCTCAGCAGACAGGACAGTTCCCAAAAGAGGCTGGGGGTGTAACTCCTTTCTTCCTTGCTGTGATTAGCATAAGCTGTGTTCTGCCAAATCTGCAGTACAGCAAGGCAACAACCCTGCGATCTGCCACAACTTTCATGAAGAGTATTTGAGGTTGCTACAAGAAAGTTTTTTGTATTTTCTTTGTCAATTCTTGAGAAGGTTTGGGGGTAGGGGGGAGGACAGAAAAATCTTTTTACCAGTCCCAGTGAGCTGAATGCTCAAAGACAACCTTCAGTTCCTAAACTTTGTGTTATTATCAGACTACCCACACAGCAGCCTAACAACTGATTCTTATTCCTTTGTTTGAAAGTCGCTGAAACCTAAATAACACTCAAGCAGAACTTCTAATCTCATTTAAGATAGGGATAAGCTCCCTTTCAAATAAGTTTAGAAGCAATTACCTGAATGGTGCATATGTACAGAGGGGTCTTTTTCTACAGCAGGGAAAGACAGTGTCCAAGGATTCAGTGCTTTGCAGTTACTCCCCAAATATAAACTTTAAAAAAATTTGGAGGCA